ATATATATAATATATATTATATATATGTATAATATATATATGTATATATATATATGTTGTATATATATATATGATATGTATATATATATATATATATATATATATATATATAATATATATATAATTATATATATATATGTACGTAATATATATATATATTATATATATATATATATTATATATAATATATAATATGTGTGTGTATTATATATATATATACACACATATATATATGTATATATGTGTATGTATATATATACACATATATATATATGTATATATATATATGTGTGTATGTATATTATATAAACACATATATATGTATATATATATATAAACACATATATATGTATATATATATATATATATTATATATATATATATATATATATATATATATATATATATATGTGTGTGTGTGTGTGTGTGGTGTGTGTGTGTGTGTATATATATACACTTGTATATACACACACATATATTTAATATATATTCTCAATATATATATATACATATAATACATATGTATGCACATACATACATATATAATACACATGTACATACATATATATACACATGTACATATATATATATACACATGTATATACATATATATATACATATATCCATAGGTATGGATATATGTATATATATGTATAACATATACATGTAATATGTACATGTATGATAATATACAAAATACATACAATGTATTCCTGTATTTATGCCAGCCTATTTATTGATTGAATTTATACATACAAACATATTTTTCAAAATTCAGGTTATTTTTTAAATTTTATGTAAAACTAACTGCTTTAGAAAATAAAATAAAACCATAATAAATCTTTTTTTTTTTTTTTTTTTTGCTTTTTTTATATCTAAACAAGCTTTCATAATTTCAATTATGGTTTTTCTTACAAAGAAAAGAAATATCAACAAAATAAAATTTTATTTTAACAATTTCCAGCATCTGTTAACAAAAATACATCAGTTCTTAAAGAATTATGTCTTTTGGTAACATCGTAGACATTTTTCTCTTTAAAGTCCCAATGAATGTAAAACCAATTTCTGATAACACTCTTGGCAAGTATTATGTAAAAATTTACATTTTGTGTTATGCTGAATTATATCCTGATTACATTTATCATCATACTTATTTTCTGGGATGTTTGCACCTCATTTCCCTTTTTTGTGCTTAAGCTTATGAAAAGTGATTTTTAGAGTGAGATATACTGCAAAAGTATAAAATAGAGAAAGACAATAAAGTTTTTCACATAAATAAGCCAAACTATTTTTTTGTGAATAATCACAATATAGTCACAACCAAAAGAAATAAAGCACCATAATATCATTGTTTCTTCATATCACATGGGAAATCCACAAAATTAACATTTCCAAATAAAGATAAATTTTTTTCAACTATCATGAATAATATGTACCCAAAAAGATACAATTTATTGCTTTTATTCCTACAGATTTTTCTGGTTGTGCAAAACTTGCTTCTAAAATCTCGTAATACTAACCCCTTGGACCTGGGTGCTTCTCTTCACCATACATGACTCAACATTTGGGTATTAGGTTAACTTGAGTGACCTCGCTCACAGAAGTGTGGCTTGTAAGCTGGGCACACACAAATGTTAAGATTCCTTGCCTCCCTTTTGCAATGTTGTAATCATTTTCTACATTTTTTCCCTCCCCCACTTCTAATGTCTATATTTTCTATTTCATATACTGTATCCAGATGGTAACAGACTGCTTTCCTTGCACTGACTTCATATCATCTCTCTTGGTAGTCCTTAAATCCGTGGAATAATAATAACAATAAATAACATTCAGTTATTTGTCTTCTTTTTTTTCTATTTAATTTTCTGTAATACAAACTGTGCTGGTGACAGCTGGCAGGAATAGGATCCTGAGCACGAAAATAGTGTCCTCCCTGGAGATGGCATTCTTCCTGTCATGGCTCACAGACAGTACATTCCACACTCATTTACTGACAGGAATAATGCAAGAACCCCTACCTAATGACCCACCAAGTCTAATCATCCTCCAAGTACTCTGTGTACTCATGGCGAGTCATTTCTGCCAACACACCCTTTAGCTGAAATTCTTATTACAGCAAGTTCCTGTTCCACTAGCCCTCAGTCAAATTTTTCCATGATGGTATGTTCATGTCATCAACCCCTCTAGCCAATTTTTTCATGATGTGAAGGTCACATCATCCAGATCGTAGGGGTTGAGCAATTAGAATATAGAATATTATGATCACCTACAAACTTACCTCTTACATTTATGCTGTTTCATGAAAGACAAAAACACTAATTTCTAAAATGCCAAATGAACTTGTCTAAAATATTGCTACTGGTGATGTATTATAGCTCTGTATGCATATATAAACATTCTTGAGTAAGGTGCAATGTTTGCTCTTTTCTACAAAATCAGATCTGCCTAAAAACACAAGAAGAAAAAAGTTCTTAACAACATATCTCCTCCAACAGAAGTCTTTTCATGTAAATTTGCTCACAGAGTAGAAAATGTTTAATTTTTTATGTCTTTTCATCTGACACATACACATGTCTTCTGAGGCAGAGACAGAGACAGAGATACATGATGCACACGCACATGCACCCAGACCCTCTCATACCCACCCACACCCATACCCATACACCCACACGCACATGCAGACGCACACATGCACACGCACACATACACCCACATGCACACCCACAGCCACACACAAACGCACGCACACACAACACACACACACACACACGCATACCCACACCTACACTCACACCTGCTTTTATACCTATCTGTATTCACATATATACTTTTTCTTTCTTTCACTTCTGTTGTTGAGAGTACAAATTATTCAACCATCATCTTATAAAATGTATTAGTATAATACACTACAATTATTTATTCTGTACATATATTAGGTCTGTCTCCTACAAATAGAAATTTCTCACAGAAATTAAATGAGATGAAAATAAGCCCATTTCAAATACAGGGCAAGTTTAGAAAAAGTATAGTCCTTAAATGTATTAGAGCAAACCTATTGATATCATTAACAATCCAGCTAAGGATATAAACCTGGTGCAAATACCAAATAGTATTACAAAATTATTCACAGCTTAGCCTTTGTTACATTCTAAGATTATGCTTCAAGAAGAAAGTAGCCGTAGCATTTATGGCCATGCTAGTCATTCAACAAGGATATAATTAATTTGAAATAAGTCTTCCAATCACATTAGTCTGTGAAATATATTTGTTACAAAGAGCTTCACAGAAAACAGATTAGATTAAAATCTGAGAAAGTTGAAGAGTACGGTAGCAAGAGGTCTTTTCAGTCCTCCACTTCCTCAGAAAAAGAAAACACTAACAAAATCACTGAAATCTCAAATACTGACTCTCACATGAAAAATTAGGGGTATAACAGCAGCTATACCAACGACTTACAATATACATACTAATATAAATTATCAAAACAATATACAAACAAAACCAACTTTTTATAAATAATATGAGCAATTTAGAACTCTGTATAGCACCAAATAAATATCTTTCAATTAATATATCATAGTGCTGATAATTTTATATAGCTACACTGTACATATCCACAGACTATTTTTGTATATATATATATATATATTTTAAAAAGCTTAAATCAAAGAATTATAATAGTGCACACAAAATAGCTTCTCATTTCAGTCTATACAAAAATATTTTGCTAAAAATATACAATCAGATCCAAATGTTATTAAAGCTTATCAACACAACAACAAAAGAAAACACCTCTCCCTCAAAAAAAAATCTACCAACAGTTTACTGCCTAGCCTTTACCAAAAATAAAATTTAAAGACCTATAAAAATATACTGATAAAAAAGGGAGGTAAATTGTGAATTGCCAAAAGGAGTTGTTTGAAATCAGATCCTAAAAGCTCTTCATATGTTGTTAATTGTATCATAGAAAATATCTATAAGAAATTAATATGGTAACTTTACTATTTATATTACATTTAAGAAATGTTCACATCTCTAATATATACAAATAAAGAGGAAGGGGAAGAAATAAAGGCAAAAAAGGAAAAGAAAAAACAAACAGCAGAAAAAATACTAATCACTGGATGCAATATGGATGAACTATTGGATCAACTGTTAAATTTTTGAACTGATAACATTGTAAACTAACAAAGGAGTGAATTAGCAAATAAACAATCATGAGGAACAGTGTGTTAACCGAATGTATTAACTGTGCCTAGGAAAGTGGACTGAAAAAAAAAAAAGAAAAATGAAATAAACAATGGACAGACAGACAATTCCGCAGATTAAGATTTTGATGGCTGGACAACTGGACTAATGAATGTCTGGATGGAATGAAGCTGCATAACTGGCCTATTACTTATAAAATAGACAAGTGGGGCTGGCGAGTGAGACAGACTGATGAATGAATGGGGGGGACTAAGTAACTGAACTGAACAACAACTTGAATTTACTAAGAAGTTTGACAGGTAAATTGCATACTAAATCTATTTACAATTGCTCAGACTAACAAATAATTAAGTGGACTGAATGTTTCACAAGTTGAGGAATCCCCACCAGAGAGATAAGTTGGACGACATATCCAGAGAGCAGCTCTTCCTCTCTGCCAACATAAAGAAATAATCAAGGAAATTTAAAGCCTTCCCTTCTCAACTTTGTAAAACTAATGCCAAGATAGTATAGCTAACTCACTGGCATCTGATCTCACCACTTGAATTTTTTTTCTTTCTCTTTTAAGAAAAGCTTGTTTTTATTACTATTACCATTGTTAATGTTGCAATGATAATCACATTAAAAATAATAATAAGCATAGTAATAGGATGAAAATGATGATGATAATTATAATAATTATTATAATAATAGATGAATAATATAATAATAATAATAATATAAAATAATATAATAATAATAATGATATAATAATAATAAATGATAATAATAATAATGATAATAAAATAATAATAATGATAATAATTACAACAAACATAAGAATAAGAATAATAACAATAACAATGATAATAATTACAACAATAATAATAATAACAATAATATTGAGAATAATAATAAGAAGAATGATAAAAAGAAAAGTAAAAACTTTTCAGAAAATTCCAGAAATGAGGTAAACAGGTGTGGTTGGGTAATCGCAGTGACTCATTGATGACAAAACATCTGTTGAAACCATCTATTGTGTAAACAAATATCATAAAACTAACCTATAGCTGACAGTGCATGTACCCAGTTATGGGTTAAATCTGAGATGTATTCAGTTATCATTACTCTGTGCCATACATTACAAATAGCAAAGTATGTCTTCTGTAATATCAATCACAGATACAATGTTAGCTGGTAGTAATTGTTAATTTGCTACATTCTTCTCCATCGAGAATCTCCTCTGAACAAGGCTATTACTGCTGCTTATGAGAAGGAAAGGGAAAGAAAAGAAAAAAAGTATTGGTATACTAGATGCAACAAAGAAGAAATGATAAATTTTCCACATAAATACAAGAAATACTTCTATTTAGAAACGACAATAAAATCAAAAGTCCCCTCCCGTCACTCTTTTTTACTGCATATAAAGCAAGGAAAAAAGTAAATAAAAATACACATGAAGAACCTCATTCCTCAGGATAGGCATGGACCTGGACTTCAACTTTGATAGTATCATGAGGTATGAGTGGATCAGTGTCACTGATGTCAACCTCTGTGCTCTGTCCACCTTCTGACTCCGCGTGGCAGCCTTTGCCTCCTACGCAGTCCTTGGCCACCCTTCCTGAGGCATCCACATCCCCTCTGAGGTTCTCAAAGGCCAAACCCACATGCTCACTCTCACGCGCATCCTGCTCAAGCTCAGACGAGGGACGAGGGACCACCACAGATGACGGCACAGTTCCGGTTGTACCATATGAAGCACACCCATAATGTCTGTTACCTTCAGCTCCCTGCGTATGGCTGTTGCTTCGTTTTCTCACTGCTGTGCGTGAGGTCCCCAGGATTTTGCTGGGCAGGTCAAATAGGGCAAAGAAGAAGTAGCCAAGCCCTGCCCCACCTATAATTGCAATGCTGAAGTATGCATTGTAAGTCATGACGATCAGCATCAGAATGTAGCCGATGGTTAGGTGGATGACATGCAGGAATGACTGGAGGATGTGAAACTTTATCCTGCAGAAGAAGAACAAAGTTACATGGTTTTCCTTGAATAAATTGAACATTGTATTAAGTGAATTTATATAACCTCTCCAATCAGGATTCGATCCCTCAACTTCTTATTCACGTGCAACAGCAGCGAGGGATCGAATCCCGATGGGAGAGGTTATATATATTCATGATATAAATGTAGCTAGTGCATTATTTCATCTTCCTCTGTATTAAGTGTTATCCTCTTTTAGATTTCCATCTTTTAATGCTAAAGTCTTATAAAATGTAAACCTGAAAAACAATCAGAACAAAATATTACCATCAAGGAAGAACAAAAAGTAATGAGCACCTACTGAATAAGCTTAAAATATATTTTCAATCCTATAACCCATATCTTCACTGAATTTTACTTCACTCCATGCAACTCTTCTTTGTACCAATTTTCTACACTTAAAGCAGGGTGTTCAAAAGTAATCGGCACCCAGTGAAAATTTGCCATCTGTCAGCCTTTCGATCCCTGGGTACTTTTCGCAGGACAATAATGAAAAAATTGATTACTTTTATGCACCATTCGCCGAGTGCACAGAAAATGCATCTGAGGGATTGCACTTTTCAAAAATTCCTGGACTTCCCGAAACATTTTGCCTTGCGCCTTCAGCGCTCAGCTGCCAGGTAATACAGGGTAGCCCACTACTTGGACCTAGGTAGCCTGCTACTTTGAAAACTTTTGAACACCCTGTTAAAGTCTAACACAGGACACAAATACGGTATGTAAACCTTAAAATTTTGACAGGAGGGAATGAAGATTACATGGGATTTCATCTCAAAATACAAAGAGAAATTCTACTATGAAATGGAAAAAATTCTTAACCACACTTTACCAAACTGGTGTTTCAGAATTCTGTAAATAAATCTAACAGGAAATTATACTGTCTGTTTCTAAACTGAACACAAATCTATAAGAAATTTGCCTTTTTTTTTTTTCATTTGTTTGGTTTTACATTATATATTTTTTTAATTTGCAACAGGCTGACTGTGCAGATCTCAAGCTACCAAACAAATGGACTTGGTTTTATTATAGCAAGAATGAATGTCAACCATGAGCATTTTTTTTTCTTTTCTTAATTCCCTGCAGAACTTAAGGATTCCTGAGATATAACTTCTTGAATAGATATTTTGACTGATCTTTGTAACAAATTGACTTTTGCTGTATCAAGCACTTACTCATCATTAAAATTCCTTTAACTTATCCGAATCACACCGGGATACTTCAAGGAAAACACATCAAGACAACACATCATCAAACAATATCAAAAGCCAACAAACATAAAACTGAATGGCGTAAAAGCAGAAAAGCAATAATTCGGAAAACAATAGAGACATACAGAGAAAGACAACATAACAGCATAAGGAGGAGGGAAGAGAGACAGAGAGAGAGAGAGAGAAAATGAAAGAGAGAGAGGGAGAGAGAAAATGAGGAGAGAGAGAGAGAGAGAGAGAGAGAGAGAGAGAGAGAGAGAGAGAGAGAGAGAGGAGAGAGAGAGAGAGAGAGAGAAGAGAGAGAGAGAGAGAGAGGGAGGGAGGAGGGAGGAGGGAAGGAGAAAGAATGAGAGAGAGAGAGAGAGAGGGAGAGAAAATGAGAGAGAGAGAGAGAGGGAGAGAAAAATGAGAGAGAGAGAGAGGGAGTAGAGAAAAGAGAGAGAGAGAGAGGGATAG